TGTCACCTCTCTGTCTTCTCACCCTCTCCACCCCAAATCCTAATCCCACTGCTTCCTCCAGCCCCCATTTTTAGTGGGAAAGAGGTGCTGGAACTTTGGCACCAGGAAAAATAACGATAAAACCTTTAATTCTCCTTGTTTCCAAGCATCTCAAACACCCTCACTGGCAGCCTGTGAGCTGGACCTGCCTGGCACACACATGGGCATTCTTTTTGGGGTGATATCTTGGATAAGAAACCAACAGGAAGTGGACAAGATCTCCAGCTGGTGATGGACAGGTAAAAAAAAAAAAAAAAAAAAAAAGAATGACAGAGCTGGGAAGCATCAGATGCCAAAGGAAGGGAGGGTGGATGAGGTGAGGGGAAGTTTGGAGAGGCACCAGGGTGGCTCAGGAGAGGCAGGAGCGTGGAGGGGGATTCCTGCCATTCCTGTGCTCATGCCCACACATCCGTGGGGGCCTTCCACCCACCAGGAAGGGGGAAATTAAACCCAGCCCTTCCTCCTGGAGGGAAAAGGTGCAGGAATGGATGAGGAAACAGCGTGGGGGATTAGGTGGCCATGTGGCTGCTCCAAATCCTCATTAGGGGCTCGTTAAGGACATGAAAGCTGCTTTTCCTGCTTCCGGTCCTCCAGCACCCCTGGAGCTGCTCCTGGCCAGCCTGGGCTGCCTTCTCCTGGCAGCCTGAGGGACCATGGGGATGGTGGGATGGTGGGAGGGACACGGAGTGGGGGATCCTCCTCCCAGCTGTGCTGCTGGCAGATGTTGGTGACACGCAGCTCTGATGGAATTTATCCCTCACTGCTCTGAGCAGCTCCTGGATTGCACCTCTGGGATGTCCCACAGGTCTGACACCCGCCCCTGCGTGGTGGCACCTCGGTGGCAGCACCCTCTATGTCACCCCTGCCAAAGCCAGGGTGACCAGGACATCCCCATGGCCAAAAATTCTCCAATTTTGGGAACAGGAACAGGCTCCAAGGGAATGGCACCAATTCAAGGTGACCATGACATTCCCATGGCCAAAACCTCTCCAGTTTTGAGAGAAGGACAATGCTCTAATGGGGTGATTCTGTACCAGGGTACCAGGACATCCCCATGGCCAAAAATTCTCCAATTTTGGGAACAGGAACAGGCTCCAAGGGAATGACACAAATTCAAGGTGACCACGACATTCCCATGGCCAAAACCTCTCCAGTTTTGGGAGAGCGACAATGCTCCAGTGGGGTGATTCTGTGCCAGGGTAACCAGGACATCCCCATGGCCAAAACCTCTCCAATTTTGGGAACAGGACAATACTCCAAGGGGATGATACCATGCCAGGGTGACCAGGACATCCCCATGGCCAAAAATTCTCCAATTTTGGGAGAAGGACAATGCTCCAAGGGGATGATACCATGCCAGGGTGACAAGGACATCCCCATGGCCAAAACTTCTCCAATTTTGGGAACAGGACAATACTCCAAGGGGATGATACCATGCCAGGGTGACCAGGACATCCCCATGGCCAAAAATTCTCCAATTTTGGGAGAAGGACAATGCTCCAGTGGGTAGATTCTATGCCGTGGTGACAAAGACATTCCCATGGCCAAAACCTCTCCAGTTTTGGGAACAGGACAATGCTCCAAGGGAATGGCACCAATTCAAGGTGACCATGACATTCCCATGGCCAAAACCTCTCTGGCTTTGTGAGCAGGACAATGCCCTAAGGGAATGGCACCAAGCCAAGGTGAGCAGGTCACCCCCTTGCTCTGAGAGAGTCAGACAGAGTCAGTTAAATTGAGACCTGTGGCCCTGGAAATCCTCTCCCAACGTGAAAGGTCCTAAATCCTGCGGATTTCCAAACCACCTGGCTCGTTTAAGCCGCTTCCTTCCTTAAATACGGACACAATATGGAACACTAAGTCTCCATCCCCAATCCCTGACCCTGCACTGACTGGGAAGAGCTGGGAGAGTGAAGTCCAAACCAGCTGGTTTTGTCCCCTTTTGCCCCAGATCTGCTGCCCTGGTGTGAGATTCCACAGGCAGCTCCCAAAGAGGAGCCCATCCTTCCTGCCCAGCTCCTCGCCCAACCCATCCCCCGAAAAATGCAATATTCTCACTGGAGCTTTGCTCTTTCCCTGAAAATAAATGAGTCATTCCCAGCCAAAGGCTTCTTGGGGCTCAAAAAGCCAAATTGTGAATAACCCTAAGAGCCCAGAAGCAGAAGGACTGAAACAATACAAGCCTCCACTCCCCCAACTAAATCTACTACTGCTTTTTTTCAACATGGTTTAACAAATTCCCCAATATTTGCCTGGAAACTCCAATCCCTGGACAACTGAATGGAGATTTTACTGCCCATGTGCCTCTGATTACAATATATTACCACTAATGATAATTGTCTGGATTATACTTATCTGTTTCTTTGGCTTATAAACTATAAAAGACCACCAGTGAAGATGTAATAAAGTGCAGCTGTTGGAGCAAAAAAAAAAAAAAAAAAAAAAAAAAATTAAAAAGCCTTTTTTTTTTTCTAGGTCAGAGCAAAGTTGGGAGAGGCTTGGGAGAGCTGCCTCAGCGAGGGGAAGGAAAACCTAACTGGAAATAAGAAGAGCTCCTCAAGGCAGCTTTCATTAATCTGGAACTTTTCTGCCAGAACTGGTGCTGGGGTTTATCTGCCAGCAGGACAAAGGGAGGGAGGTGCAAACTCTCCATTTCTCTCCTGCATCTCATTAGCCTCAAAATGGACCCTTGGGCTCCTCAGAAATGTTCCTGGCCAGGGATGCACCTACAAAGGGAAGGAGGAGGGAAGGGAAGGAGCATTTTTGTTCTTGGAGTGGGGATGAAGCTTCCCCAGCATGGAACATAAGCTGGTTAAAAGGCACAGAGGGTGAAGCTTTGCAGGTGCCAAAGGGCAGGAAAAGGGTGAAAAAAACCCTCTCATTGTGGAAATTCAGAAAGTTGGAGAGAATTGCTGAGATGGAAAGCAGCCAGGAGGTCGGAGTAAACACCCTGGTGCTGAACTGAGGAAAGGCAGATAACAGAGTGTCCCGAGGCAGGGAAACATGGAATGGGTTGGGTGGGAAGGGATCTGAGGGATTACCCAGACCCACCCCCTTCCACACCCTCCACTGTCCCAGGTCACTCCAAACTCGCCTCAGACACTTCCAGAAATGGGGCATCCCCAGGGAAATCCATCCCAGCCCCTCCTCACCCTCACAGGGAACAATTTCTTCCCCAAATCCCATCCATCCCTGCCCTCTGGCAGTGGAGGCCATGCCCTGTGTCCTGTCCCTCCACCCAGTCCCTCTCCAGCTCTCCTGGAGCCCCTTTAGGACTCTGAGGTCTCCATGGAGCCTTTTCCTCTCTCACACAAAACTGGAGATTGGGAATGTCCTGGCCAGCCTGGCATGGTGACCAGGGCATCCCTTTGCCTTGGAGCAGGTTTCTGTTCCCAAATTGGGGAGGTTTGCCATGGGAATGTCCTGGCCAGCCTGACACAGTGACCAGGACATCCCTTTGCCTTGGAGCAGGCTCCTGCTCCCGAATTGGAGAGGCTTTGGCCATGGAATGTTCTGGTCACCCTTCCACGGCACCATCCCTTTGCCCTGGAGCAGGTTCCTGTTCCCAAAACTGGGGAGGTTTGGCCATGGGAATGTCCTGGCCAGCCTGGCATGGTGACCAGGACATCCCTTTGCCCTGGAGCAGGTTCCTGTTCCCAAAATTGGAGAGGTTTTGGCCATGGCTCCAGGCCTCAGAGATCTCCCATGAGCACATGGAAATGGATTTGTTGTCCTGAATTCACCACCCCAGGATTTCAAACCCAAGGCAGGTTTGCAGGGAAAGGGACTGTCTTTCATTTCACCAACTAACACAAGCTGAGGGAAAAAAAAAACCCCAGAATATCTCAGAAACACAAGTTCTTCCAATTTTAACAGAATGCTGGAAGAAAAAGTTAATGTATCTTTCATGAGGACAATCTAGATAATAAGCAACACAATTCCACAGCAAAAGGCTGGGATTTTTTTTTTCCTTTTTCTTTCTTTCTTCTTGGTATTTTTTCCCTTAAATAAGCAGGAATTTCTGGTTGTGGATAGAGGACCAAGGTAAAACTTGAGTCACCAAACATCCCCCAGACAGGAACATGCTGTAACCTCAGGTGTTAAGTGATCCATGAGATTTTACTTTCAGATTTGGGCAGAAACAACAACTTCAGGGGAAAAAAAAGCCAAACCAACTAAACCACGACAACCCCTCTGTGTGTTAAACCTAAACTGAAATTGTTATTCAGCAATTTGCAACACTTACTGTCATATTAAAGTAATTTCATTTTATTTTTGCTCGCTGGCTCTGCTCCTGTAACAAAACAGCAAATCTTGGGATTTAAGGGGATATTTGGGGGAGAACTGAAGGAATCATGAAAGGTTTGGGGGTACAGCCTGTGACCCTGGAAAAGGTGGGAATTTTGCAGGTCAGATGTGACAGAACTGTGGGATTTGGGCGTTTTCCCCTCATTTCCAACCTCTCTGGCTATGAAAGCTCTGTAGCCTCTCCTCCTTCTCTGCATGGAAATATTATTTATAAATATTATTTATAAACATGCAGGAACTTCCACTTTCTCCTTTTTTATTTAGGAAAATTTCCAAATGAAAGAAACTTTTGCTGAACCAGCCAATTTCTGACCCCCCTGGATGATCTCCAGGTGGTTTTGTTCCTTTGCTGGAAGTAAAAACCAACACATAAACAGAGAAAATTGAATTATTCATCTTTTGGGGGTCCCTTCCAGCCCAGGATGCTCCATTATTTTATAGCTCAGGAGTTCTTTAAGCTACAGGTGAAGGCAGCAGTGGATCCAAGTGGCCAAAAAGGTTCAAATTATTATTAATTAAGCACAAAAGCAGTGTGGCCAGCAGGACCAGGGCAGGATTGTCCCTCTGAGGCTGATTTCCAGCCTCTCTCCAGGACCCACATCCCTAAAGCTCCAGATGAGGACAAACCCCACGAGATGATGGTTGGTACTCACTTTTTCAAAGGCTCTATGACTGTCTTTTGGATCTGATTCACCTGTGGAAAGCAAAAAAGGGAGGGCTGCACGTCAGGATTGTTGGAAAATCCCATTTGCACAAGGATGGGTTTGTAGGGATCCCACCACGGGCTGGGGAGGGACTCTGAGCACACCATGATGTCCTTTAACCAAAAGAGAGGGAATTTCTCCCATGGGAGCTGCAATCCCAGCCTGAAGAGGGAGATTAGAGAAACTCCTGTGGGAAAAGTCTTGGGGATGATGATAAAAGGGAAAGAGGTGAGGCACGAGGATCCTGGACATGGCAGGGAGGGACAGGACACAGGGAATGGCTTCCCACTGCAGAGGGCAGGGATGGATGGGATTTTGGGAGGAAATCCTTCCCTGGGAGGGTGGGGAGAGGCTGGGATGGAATTCCCAGAGAAGCTGTGGCTGCCTCATCCCTGGAAATGTCCAAGGCCAGGTTGGAACAACCTGCGACAGTGGGAGGTGTCCCTGCCATGGCAGGGATGGGTTCAAAGCCCCTCAACCCCAACCATCCCATGATTCCAGGATACTCCCACCATTCCATGACTCCAGGCCCCTCCAGCACTCCCATTTCCCAGCCAAAGCCAATCCACCTTCTCCTGGTTGAAGGAGTCCATCCTCTTCATGGCCGTGTCGAAGGCCGTGACCATCTCAAGGAACGAGGGCTCCTGCTCACACAGGGGGTTGGACAGCAGGTCTGAGGAGATCTTCACTGCAGACTTGGACATGGCTGATGGAAAAGAAACCACACAGGTCACATTTCCCATTGCCAGGAGGGCAAAAATCAGGGAGCTGAGCCAGCCAGGAGGGGGTCAGCACAAGCCTGCAGGGAGATGCTCGGTGGAGGCTGAGAGAAAAGCAAGGAAAAGGCACCAATTCATTCATGTAAACACCCAGAGAAGTGTTTTTATATAAGTTAAGTCTGAACCACTCCAATGTGAGGCTTGTGATGCTGCCAGAAATAATCCCAGACTAACAAAAGCACTGTTCTCTTAAAAAAAACCCCAGAGATGGGGGTTTTTATACATCTTCTCTCGACAGACTATTAAGTGTCACTCTCAGCCTCACTACAGCTCTTCCACAACGAGAAAAATCACAGTCCATTAAGTCTTTCAAATGGCTTTACAAAAAAAAAAACAAAAACCATGTATTTGAAGTGGATTTAGTGGGAAAGGACCAGACTGACAGGACTGGGAGACGAGGTTTCTCTTTCCCTCTCCAAACACAAAGAGCAGGGACACGAGTTAAGTATTTTCCGCTCAATAAGCCTAAATTTTTTGCCTGTGGAGAAGGAGCCAGGGGGGATATGAAGTCCCTACAGGCCCTGGGAGCGCCACCAAGAAGTCCAGAAGCAGCAGGTCATGCTCTGACTGAGCATTCTGCTTGTTTTCCATCAGCCACATCCCTCTTTATCCAAACACTTGGTCTGCAAAGGGAAAATTCAATGACAGAACCACTACACAAATGAGCAAGAAATTAGGGAAGGTACAGAATGGAAAAAAAGACTAATAAAAAGGAAAGCATAAATATAAACAGGGATAAAATAGACTAAAAAAAACCAAAAAAGGCCAGAGGTACTAAAAAAAAAATATTCTTTTTCCTCAGTGCTGGAAGTTATTCCAGTTGGAGATCACAAAGCCAGATGCTTTGGAGGAGCTTTGGAAAGACTCCCTCAGATATTAAAAGTTAAAATCATCTGAATAATGGGGTTTAAGATCATAAATCAAGGGGTTAAACATTCTGATTGAAAGGTTACACACAATTATAACAGAGAGAGCTCAGAAGCTGCAGAGCTGGGAGCTCAGTGCAGAACGAGCCTCTCACTGCAGGATAACAAAGCTACCGTATCCATCTATTATCCAAACATGAAGGCTTTGGGCATTTAAACCTTTAAACAGATGGGATAGAATCCATATGTGTGACCACATCTGAGCAGGGATTTGTGCCAGAATGGGATGGAGTTAACAACGGCAGAGCTCCTTTGGCTGGAAGAAAAATGAAGTTTTCCTTCACAGGAAAGGATTGGAAGGGAACTGGAGGGAGGGAGTGGCAGGGTCACGCTGGGAGGTTGGGAACTGGGGGGATTTGGGCATGTTCAGGGGGAATTTGGGTCAGGAATTTCCTCTGCATCAGTGGGATCACCTGTAGAGAGATGAAAAGGGGGTCTGAGAGTGCCAGGGCAGGGAGGAGAGAAGGAGGAGGAGAAGGAGAAGGAGGAGAAGGAGAAGATGAAGAGGAGGAGGAGAAAGGACTGCCTGTCCCTCAGGGTGGTCTTCAGGAGGGTCTGCACTGCTCATTAAACATGTGAGATGTAGCTCCAATTAATTATTCCAAAGGAGAGCTTTTACCTCCAGTTCAAGAACATCCTCCTGCCCCTGGAAAGAGGGTGGGGAAGGGGGTGAGTGATGTCCAGTTGTGCTAACAACTGTGCTAACAACAGTGCTGCTAAAGCCCATTCCCTGTTTGCTGGTAGGGCAGTGAAGAGCCTGGCTGGGGGATTTCTGTGCACAGGAATTCTCTTGTTCTGAGCTGAGCTTTTTGGGAAGAAGGTGGAGACTCGAGCCACCAGTCCCACTTTGCCAGGGAGTGTTTGCAGGCAGTGAAGAACCAACCCCCTGAGCCTGGAGGAACCAGACAGGAGGGCAAACCTCGCCAGATCTGGGGGCTGGATGCTGGGAATGGGCACTGCCAGGTGAGGAGAGCCATCCTCAAGGATTGATCTGATCCACCTCCTTCTCCTCCAACCTCCCTCGGCAGGCTGTGTGCAGTACCTCTCCCTCCACTCACCATTTCAAGCCTTTAAATGAGAAATCAGATCGTCCTGGCTCTGGCCAAGGCTCATTTGTGACTCTGCCATGTAACAGAACGGAAAAAGAAAGTCCTCCCACAGCTCCTCTGGGACTTGAAATGCTCCATATAAACAACGCCCACTGCAAGGGAGGGGAGGGGAATCCTTAACAAGGAAAAACTTACCAGGGATCTCTGACAATGACCAGAGTCCTCAGAAAGGGCAGATTTCACCCTGGAAAAGAGTCCTGCGTGTCTGGTGCTTTTCCCACCCTCTGCCCATGATGGAAAGGTGGGAGAGCACAAGGGCAGATTTCACCCTGGAAAAGAGTCCTGCGTGTCTGGTGCTTTTCCCACCCCTCTGCCCATGCTGGGAAGGTGGGAGAGCATGGGAAGGGCCTGGATCTGTTTGTGTCAGCAATATCCACACACACACCTGCACACAGGTGAGAGGCTGGATCATGGAAAGCCCCAAATTTTCCTCTTTCCCACTGTCCTGCCCTGCTGTGACCCCGATCCCACGGGATGAGTGCTGGCCCAGTGCAGCCCACACCTGTTTGTGCTGGTGCCTCTGCCTTGGCTCTGGAGCTGTGGGGGCCAAGCAGGGACTGCTCCAAACCACGCGCTGGGAAAAACCATCTGGGTTTGGAACAGCTCTTTGCTGCAGGTTCCTACCCTGCTCGTCTGAGTAACCAGCATCCAACAAATCCAGCTCCCAGCTCCCCTCTGCTGGATCCCTCTCTGGGCACAGCAGATTCCGACCAGAGGGATGTGAAGGGAGCTGGGACGTGGGACAGGACACCTGCAAGGGCAGAATGCCACCCCAAACGTGCAGGCAGAGCTGTTTATTGCTTCCTCCATCGCCCACTGCCACCAGGGGAAGCCAAAACAAGCAGCCACCGAGGGAATGAGCTGGGTTATTCCCAAAGGAGAGCTGCCAGGTCAGCATTTCCCATGGGAAACACGGCCAGCTGTGTCCAGCTGTGTCCCCCAGACCCACCCCACCTTCCTGGGGCTCCAGAGAGGGACGTGAAGGAGATGAAAGGAAGACTGAAGGAGGTGAAAAAGCACTGTTGGCACAATAGGCTCAGCGGAGCTGCTCCTGCTGGATAATCTGAGACCTGGAACAACGACTCCTGGGTTTCTTCAGTGGCAGAAACTGAGGCAAACAAAAGAAAGGGACTTTTCCAAGGCCACGGAGCTCAGGAGACAGGGACTGAGCCCGCAGCACTCCCTGTGTTCCCTGGGCTGAGCTGCCTCTCGCAGATGGCCTTGTAACTAAGCAAACTGAGTGGGACTGAGCTCTGGATTTGTTTTCCAGACTTGTCACACATTACTCATGTGATCTCGAGAAAAGTCACTTCATCTCTCTGTGGCCAAGTTCACAGTCTATGTATCCTCCAGTCACTTACCCAAATCTGCATCTGTGCTTTTCTTCATATCCTTCTGAAGTTTTTTGGTCTGATCTTCCAATCTGAAAGATGGGAGAAAGAAGGCAAAGTCGGAATCTTGGAAAGAAAGAAACCCAAGTGTATCATACGTGCAACAAATCATTTACGGGCTGAATATGCTGGCTTCTGGTGGGAGTTAAAAATATCCAGGCAAGGCTTGATGAAGTTCAGTGCAGCTCAACCCTTTCGGGTTGTTTTCAGATGGTTTTTAACCTTTTCAAGTTGGTGATCTCTTATTCATAGTTCACATATTTCCTGAAAGTTCTCACACTTAGCACAAATGGTAAAGCCAAATGCTTCCAGATGATCCCTGTGAGCTCCTGTGACACAGGCAGGATGGCAGAGCCACTCCTGGTCCTCTGAGGTGTTGGCCTCTTCAGGGACCCCACAGTTTCCTGGCAATTTTACACTTTTTCTTTTTCAAGCTGCCAGAATCTGCAACCCCACTGCAAATACTTCTGAGGACACCTTTGAACACTCAGAGAAACCCTGAAGAATTGGAAATTACAGGGCAGCGAGGGATTTGCTCACTGGGAAGAGCATCCCTGGCTAAAATTCCCTGGGAAGATGCAACGAGAGGAGGGAAGCACGCGGCCAGTCCTGTCCGACCAGTGTGGTTGATACTCACTGCTGCAGCTTCCCATATTCCCTTTCAAAGTCTCTCTCCACCTGTGGAAAGAAGAGATGGAAATCAGCTCCAGGGGACTGCAGGGCAGCCTGGTGCAGGGAAAACTGTCCCTGGGAAATGCTGAGCTGAGCCCAGCACAAGCTGCAGTTTAATGGGAGTAAAGGCTCAAAAGAAAAGGAAGTCTTGGGGATTTGGAGCTCCAGACCCTCTTGGAGCCAGCACCAAACATGGCAGCTTGACCCAAGGACATGGATTGGGAGCTGATGGAATAAATGGGAATGCTATAAAAGCAGGGAGGTCACAACCTAGCATGGCTCAGTGCTGGGGGACTAAGTTTTTTTCTCCCAAAGACTGAGGGGAGCTGCTGCTCCTCCAGCCCTGTTAAGGATCCTGAGGTGGGTCTGGCTGTTTCCTCCTTCCTCATCCTCAACAGGATGGTGAAATTCCCCCCAAACCACCAGTGTGCCTTCCCATCTCTGCATTGTTCACCCCCTCCACACCCTCCTCACCCCTACAACAGCTCCCTCCCATGAAATTCTCGGGCTGGAGCACAATCCCAGTGGACTGTGGCACCTCCAAAAGGGAGGGGAACCCTGTGCTCCGAGCTCAGAGCTCCAGCACAGCCTTCTCCCGATGCTACCTCAGTGCCTGCTCCCTCCTACTTGCTAGCTGGCAGCAAACCTCCAGCGATAGGAGATATTTTAAGGAACTTTCTTTCCATGCTGACTGTTTTAACACACTTAAAACATTCATTCCACACCTCGTCAACCAGAGAAGCAAATGGATTTCAATTGACCAGCCAAGAGTAAATCCGTGCGCGTTTGTTGTCATGGGATCAGCTCTGGGTTCAGTTGTGTTGTCAAGCTCCTGTGCTATTAAGGAAATGCAGAGTGCTGGGAGCAGCCAGGACTAGAAGGATCCAAAGGTTTGTTCCAATTCTTCCTGCTGGCCCTGGGATTTCAATCCCAGGCTTGATGCAGCACCACAATTTAATGGGGATGTTGCTTTTCAAGCAGAATTGCCGTTAAAAGCTTGGGGGTTAAAGATGGAAATTTTCTTAAAATCTCCTTCTTTAAACATCTTTTTGGGCTGCACTTGAACTCCACCAGCCTGATCTGAGGGCAGGCAGTGCCCAGCCACATTCCAGCCCCATCCCAGCGCCCAGCTGTCCGCACCATCCGCTCCCACCATCCGGGGGATGCGAGCTGGGCTCTCTCCCCCCCAATCCCTCTGCTCCAAAAAACCCTCCCAGGAGCTCCAGCTCCCTTTTCGTGCTGCTAAAATTGGGTGCTGGAGAGAACAGACACGGAGCAGTGTGGGGGCAGCTCACACGACTTGTGCCTGGCGTTCGGGGAGCGCAGAAATCCGCGGCAGCTGGCGCCCTGCAGGTCAGGTAACCAGCACATAGTAAAACTCACCCTCCATCCCCGTGCCTGTTCCGGCTGCTAAAATATCCAGGGACTATTGCACTCTATTTATAGGCCTTAGGTGTGAATTGTTTTGGTTGCAAACCACACAGGGTCGGGCACGACTCAAAAATGTGCCCCCCTTTGAAAGGCTGGGGGTGTCGTTCCCTTATTGTTCCCTCTCTGTGTTTAGGAGGATCTGCTCAGCAACCAATTCCTCCAAAAGCTTTGGCTGTGGAATACCTGTGAATATTCAGGGTTTCTGTCCCTTTTTTGCTGTCAGATTCGCCCGTTTCTGTGCAATAAGCAAAAGGCATCATTGCCTAAAGGGGATGGAGCAGCTTCCAGGGCCTGAAGGGGCTCCAGGAGAGCTGGAGAGGGACTGGGGACAAGGGATGGAGGGACAGGACACTGGGAATGGTTTCCACTGTCAGAGGGCAGGGTGGATGGGATCTGGGGAAGGAAATGTTTCTTGTGAGGGTGAAGAGGGGCTGGGATGGATTTCCCTGGGGATGCCCCATTTCTGGAAGTGTCTGAGGCGAGTTTGGAGCACCCTGGGATAGTGGAAGGTGTCCCTGCACATGGCAGGGGGTGGAACAAGATGACTTTAACGCTCCCTTCCCACCCAAACCATTCTGGGATTTTAGGATCCATTCCATAAAGACAAAACCTCCCCACCTTGTGACCCTCTGGGTGCTGTGAACCCCCAAACCTCCCGAGCTCCCCCAAGCCCCCACCCCAGTGCCAGAGCAGGGTCCACATGGGATCGAGGTGACTCCACACAGACAGAATTCAGCTGCCCAGCCTGACTCACATCCCCAGCCCCATCTCTCCGAGACAGCTGCCCAAGGATTGCTCTTATTTTTCACGCCCACAGGCAGCAACTGGCTCCCAGTCCCCACAGTCTGCGAGCTCATGGAGCCTCCCAGCCGTGGCTGGAGCCTGGGTATCCCACAAAAACAGCTCCTCTGGAGAGGGAAAAGCTGCTCTCACGTGCTCCCACCCAGCAGAGTCACAGGCAAAGCCCTGCAAGGAGGACAAGCTGGGAACATTTTGCAGAGCACACAGTAATTCCCACTCCCAGTAGCTATCCACGGTCACACGCAGCCGACAGAGGCTGTGGAGAGGATTATCACGTTAAAAGTAACGAGAACAAGAAGTACAGGCAAGAAAATTACAATATCCTGAAGGGAAGTTTCCGTATTATTAAAATAATCCCACTGCTCTGCAGCCTCTTTCTGAAAACTCCAAATCAAACCACACTTTCTGTATTGAATGGTTTTTTTTTTCTTCCAGGCACAGGGGCTGGGTAATGCAAAAATCGCTCGTCTCGGGGTTTTTATTTAAATCTACATCAAGAGCGACTAGCTCTCGAAAGCTTTGAAATAAAACAACGTTCTCCCTTTCACCCAGTTCTTTTTTTTGTTTGCAAACACTGGGCCTCCCACCTGTGATCACATCCCTCCTGCTTGAAGGGCAGGCTCATCATCACCACCCTGCTTATGAGGCAATGGAGCAAGACCGAAGCCAACAAAGAGATGGAAATGAGGGACTGTGAGGAACCTTCCTATCCCCCTGGGGTTCGTGTTTTTTTCCTGGAGGAGCAAGATGAGCTGATTTCTGCATCTTGCAGTGGTCTTAGCATCTTTGTGGATCTTGGGAAAAAGAGGGAAGTGTTTCCTTCTTCCTCTTCTCCAAAAAAAGTGAAACCCATAGAAATTAGAACTAAGATTTTCTGCTGAGCTTCTGCCACCCCATCAAGAATTTCCAGGTAAGTCCCATGGGCGAAAGGGCAGGCTCATCATCACCGCCCTGCTTATGAGGCAATGGAGCAAGACCGAAGCCAACAAAGAGATGGAAATGAGGGACTGTGAGGAACCTTCCTATCCCCCTGGGGTTCGTGTTTTTTTCCTGGAGGAGCAAGATGAGCTGATTTCTGCATCTTGCAGTGGTCTTAGCATCTTTGTGGATCTTGGGAAAAAGAGGGAAGTGTTTCCTTCTTCCTCTTCTCCAAAAAAAGTGAAACCCATAGAAATTAGAACTAAGATTTTCTGCTGAGCTTCTGCCACCCCATCAAGGATTTCAAGGTAAGTCCCATGGGCGAATATTCTGAGCCAGAGCTGCAGAGTACAGGTGGATCTGGGATGTCACAGACTCCACTCAGCAAGATCTCCACATCCCCATCCTGCAAGAAATCTTCCCAGAAAAATGGCAAAGGGAAAAAGGAGGCACCTCCCAACTGCAGAGACTAGTTTGGGCAGAAAAGATTGAAGGAAGAGAGTGAAAATGAGCAAAACTATTTAACTGGCGTCACCTGAATTCACCCCACCATTCCCATGACATTTACTCCACTGTTTTGGGATTTCCAGCTCGCTGGGGGAGCCCAATGGAAAGGTGCTGCAGTGGAATCCTGCTGCTCAGGGAGCTCCTCCGTCCGACTCCCCTGGGGAAGGCAGAGCTGCTGGGATGAGTCAAGGAAGGGAGGTTTGGCAGCTCAGGTCTCCACTCCCTGCCAAGCTGACTCAGGCCAGCAAGGAGGAGGAGGAGGGCGAGTGGTCTGAGTCAGCCCAGGCCAGAGCAGGGCCGAGGGAAGCAGGGAGGGAGGCGGGATCAAACCTCGCTGGGGGATGCAGGGCCGGCTCTGCTCCCCAGCTCCTGCCTGCTTGGATCATCCCGGCCCCGGTGAAGGGCAGGGAACAACCTGGGGGGACACAGGTGAACTTCAGCTGCAGCTGCAGGAGAGCTGGGGACACGAGACAGCTCCGACGGCAGCGCAGCCTCTGCTGGGAGCGGAGCTGTCCCGAGGGAGGGAAGAACATCTCTGCCATAAGAGGCTTCGTGGCTGAGCAATAAACATGGAGAGATATAATTCTAACAGGTTTAACTCCTATCACTGGGCATTAGTTTAATTGGGCTGCGGGCCCGTGGCCCTGCTGACAGCAGGTCCTCTCGGAGCATTAGATCCTCCCACCCGGCTCCCAGAGCCCGGTGACAGCTGCTCTTTTCAGGGAAGAGGAGGGGAGAGATTATGCTGTCTGGAATTGGATTTGCCCAGGTTAAGGTGGAAACAAAGCACAGCGATGTCTGGGGAGGGGGAGATCACCTCAGTTCACCAGCTGATATTTTCTACCGGGGTTTCCTTCTCCCTCAAGAGCTAAACTGTGGCTGACACCGTGCCCTTCTCCAAAGGATCACAAGCGAGTGGGCACAGGAGTCATGACTAATTCCTCGGCAGCCCAGGCAAATTGCTTTTCAGGACTACTCCCGGCCTAGATCTGACACCAGCCCCGGCACTGAGACAACAAAAAAGCCTCTCTGGCTCGCCGAGCCTCTCAGCAAAGCCACCCCCCTCTCCTGACTGCAGTCCCAGGCCTCATGGAGAGCCAAGGAAGTTACATCCTAACAAATGCTGCTTTTTTTTTTCTCCTTCCCCTTCACCCCCCTCTTTTGTGGTCCAGTCTCTGTGAGTGGGAGATCCTCTACCCACAACCACTTCCCTTCTGATGGGCTTGGGATGCAGCCCTGGAGATGCCACACCTTCCCACTTCCTGCAGCCCAACATCTGGAACATCCCAGCCCTTGGCTGCTGCTGCTGTTCCCCAATGCCTGCACAGATGGAGTGCCTCAGCCTGCAACTGGGAGGTAAATCTGGGGGCCTGCAGCTCAAAGCACACCACGGCACATGGAATGCCTGATCCTGGGGGATATCCGTGGTTTCCTGCCGTTTGTTCTGCTTTGAAGAGCTGCACTCTGTGCTGGGCGTGAAGTTCCAAGGTTTTGGCTTCCTGTTTTCTGCTTTCCTTGTATCTGGTGCCTGGAGAGCAACACCACCACCACCACCATCATCATCATCATCATCATCATTATCATTATAATCACTCCAGGGCAAGTGGAAGGGTTTTAGAAATCAACTTTGTTGACACTAAATCTTGTTCCTGGGGAGCTGAGGAAGGAAGGAAGGAAAAGGAAAAGGCCTGGAAAGGCTCTGGGTGCTGAATGAACCTCTGCCTGCCGGATATTCTGAGCTGTTCTATTTAATACACACACATGTATATATAAGCAAAGGCTGCCAACTGCTTCAGAACAGCACATTCCAGCAGCTCCGGGGAAGGGAAGATCTCAGAGGTGCCACCACTCATCTGCAGGGAGCCTGAGCACAGAGATGGCTGATTTTAGGGGAGAAAAACCTCTAAAACCTCTAAACCAGCAAGGAAATAGAATGTATTGAACTGGGATGTGAGAATGGGTGGGCTGGAGATGCCCAGCAGAGCTGGCCAAGACACCCAGAACTGCAGAGCAGTTGGTTCTTGCCCCAGCCTGGAAGGACATCGCTGTTGGGAGCACTGGGAAAGGCAAAATATTGTGGAGCAAGGAATGTGGGGGCTCCTGACACAAGCTGGGAGAGGTGTGAAGGGCTCAGGCTGGGCTGCCTCACCTGAGGGATCACAGGCAGCAGCACCTTGCTGGTGGATCACCAGCCCCTGGAAAAGGGCAGCTGAAAACATGGGAAAACCACGCAGGAATTTTACCAGTCCTCGTCTTCGTTGCCTGCCTGGCTTAAATTCTGTACTGACAGTTTGGAGCTGTTACAGAAAATTGCTGCTCCACGGCAGCAGACAACCACCAAATCCTTTAAAATAAAACATGACAATCAAGCCTTGAAGGGAGTGGTGGGATTAGCCCTCTGCCTCCAGGGAAAATGTCATGTCCCAAGGAGAAACTGCCCCACAAACACGGGTGCCCACGCATCCTGCGGAATTAGCTGGGTGTCCCGGAGAGGAAGGATCAGGGATGTCAGTCTGTGCAAGGGGATTAGGTCACCAAAGCCACCAGAGGGACAAGCTCTGCCCCACACAGCCTCCCAGGGCTCCCTTTTCAGAGCAGGTGCCCAGGTGAATTTTCAGGGCCAGCTCCTGGGAGGTTCCACAGCTTTTTTTTGGCACGGGACAAATGCAAAGCCAAGCTGCTTAAGAAGGGAAAATACCACAGCCAGCTGCAAGCAGCAGCACTTGGGGTAGGAGCCTCAAATCCACGGGAATACAAAATGCTTTTTTAATTTGCTTTTAAAGCAAATGCTGTGCAGCACAAATTAATTCACGCCCGAGCACTAAGCATCTCAGCTTATAAGCCTTTCTTTGGAAACAGTTATATTCAGCGATCTGAACCACTCCTCCTCCTCCATCTGCTCCGAAAGGATGAACAAACAAGCCATTGCTGAAAGAAGGAAGGAAGGAAGGAAGGAAGCAAACCCGTTCAGCCATCTCCGAGGAAAACTGTGCCAGACCAAGAGAGCTCTTGTCCCCCACCCCGCACACACACACACCCCACTCCCAAAAAATAAAAAAAATTATAATTTCAACAGATCCCAAACCAAAATATTCTGCCTGCATGGGGCTCCCCCTCGCTCCTCGCACGAGGAGCCGAGCGCTGGTCACACGCGGCAACAGGTTCTGCTGCTCCAGCTCCCTCCCACACGCTGCAAAATGGGACGAGTCAAAGTGCTGGCTTGACTCATCAGCCACATGATCCAAGGCTGGAGCTAAAAAGGGGGAACTGGTTTACTCACTGTCTTGGGTACAATCTGTTTCTTGGGCTGCCCGATCTTGAACGGGATCCTGGAAAAGAGAGAGGAGAAGGGAATGTGTGAGCAGCGCTGATGCTGGGCCCAGGCTGGGGGTGGGTTTGGGGGCAGCAGGGGGTGTCCCGGGGTGGCAGCCCCTCATTCCAGGCACTGTGCACCCCCTGGAGAGGGAAAGGGTGGGAGAGAGTGTGGAGAGACTTCTCAGCATTCCAGAGGGGCAGCTCTCTGATCTCTGCTCGGTGACAGCGACAGGAGCCAGGGAACGGCTGGAGCTGCGCCAAGGCAGAGTCAGGTTGGATTTTAGGGAAAGATTCCTCCCCCAAAGGCTGCAAGAAGCACTGGGAAAGCTCTCCAGGGAAGGGTCACAGCCCCGAGGCTGCCAGAGCTCCAGGAGTGTTTGGACAACACTCCCAGGGATGCACAGGGTGGGATTTTGGGGTGTCTGTGCAGGGCCAGGGGCTGGGCTGGGTGGTCCTTGCGGGTCCCTTTGGTTCTCCCAGAGCCAGTGCCACCCCTGAGGTCAGCCCCTCCAGCCTCCCTCCAGCCCAAAGCAAGGCAAGGATGCTCCACAGACAGCTGAAGAACCCGCTCTGTTTCAAACCAAATCTGCTGGGGAGGATAAAATAATACTAAAAAAACTCCCAAACAAAGCCTGTAAATATTTAGAAAGAGGATATTAAAAAAAGCAACAACCCAGTGTCTGGAGCTGCGAGCTGCTTCAAAGGATTCCTCTGCTCCAACAGCTGGAGGAGAGGCTCACCTGCCAGCACAGCCTTCATTCTTAAAATCCCTAATTCCCAGGAAAATCTGGGTTACCTGAATGAGAAGAGTACTCTAAATAAATTACACAACATATGTAAGGGTGGCTGGGTCAGCTGGGAGCAGCCACGCAGGCAGCCTGAAAATAATTGGATTTCTTTCACCTATCAGTATAATGAAAATCCAGGAATACAACTGCTGTTGTCAATGGATTTAATTAAGTTAAAGAGGTGCTGCTTGGTTAAAGCATCTCAGCCAAAATCTCCCAATGTTTTCTGGGTTGTGATGCTTTAAATAAATAGAAAAAATTGAGGTCATAATGATATTCAAGTGGTTTTTTGCCAAAGATGTTTCACCTACAGCTCAGCTCCATCCCATTGCATTCCAATGGAATCTTCCACTTCCAATTTCCCATCCCAAATCTGCACCAGCAGCTTCTGGGAAAGTGTCTGAGTCCTCTCCTGAGAACTTGGACTGGACCAGCCCAAATTCTCATGCTGCTGCACAAAACTTGAGATAAAACCATGGCTTTTGGGACTGCGTTGCTGCCTCCCAGTCTGGCTTTTCCCACTGCTGATTTTCCATTTGCTTCCCACCAGCTCCACTTCCAAGTCCCCAGCACTGCTCCATCCAACAGCTGGACCCTCAAGAAATATTTTTACCAGTGTAACCTGCCATAAAATCCAACTGTGTGCAACAGGAGAAGGAGTTTGCAATGGAAGAACGGGCGGGACGAAGCAAAAAACCCCGATTATCCAAACTGCAAACCTTGCTCTTCCCACTTTTCCCGCTGTTTTCAAACCAAGGCTGTAATTACCCACCGGGAATAATCCAGGGCTGCACCCCCCGTGACCCTCCCTGAGCAGCTCTGGAGCCAACCTGAGTCACCAGGTTTAAATTTAAATTTTTTTTCGGGAGAACTTCCTGTTTATGGTTCTCCGCCAGGACCGGTGTAATTTTGGGTTTAACCCTTTCCAGCTCCTGTGGCAGTGTGAATCACCCTTCTTTTATAAACAAACACCACTCTGCTGTATAATTTCCCTGTCAATAACTGGGGGTGTGGTGCCTTACAGGAAGAAAACAAAAATATATGGATTTTTTTCCTTTGTGTTTTCCTCTGTGGGTCAAATATAAACCAAAATGAGGCACCTCCCGCCTGCCATCCGCAGCCAGGTGCTGTCACTTGATGTTTTTGGAAGTGATGGCACCAACTTGGTGGTGAAAGGATAAAAAAAAATGAGGATTTTACTCAAGGGAGCGTTATCCCACTTAAAACCAGTTTGCCATTCTCTGGCAGGGCGGGAACAAGCAGGGAGCTGGAGCCAGGTTGGTTCCAAGTGGGAAAGGACAATTAAAAAGGTGATTAAGGAATTACCTGTGCACAACCTGCCCCTCTGGGGGACACAGAGAGCACCCCAAAGTGGTGTTGTCCACTGGAAAAATGGTTCAATCCAGGGAGTTTGGTACCAAGAGGGATGTGGGGTAGGAAAAGCTGGTTGGGGATCAGAGCAGGGAAGGGAAGGCAGAGGGAGCACAGGGGGTCCTGCTCCATCCTCACCCCACCACGGAGGGCAAGGAACCCCAAAAATCCCTTTTCTTCTCCCAGAAACAAAGCGAAGTCAGTAGAACTGCAAATCTCCCATGCAGCAGTAAATATCTCTATCAGCATTGTGATGCCACTTGGTAATTATGTCTGTCTCAGTAAAACCTCTAAAAAATAACCCTGTGCAAGTCAGGTCTGTTCCTCAATTATTGGAGGTTTTTTGTTCTATTTTACAGTTTTACATAATTTTCCTGGTTTTTAAATCACTGCCTTTTAATATGATTCTCTGGGAGGGTGGTGGGGGGGGGGGGAAGATGGGTGAGCAGGAAAGAAAGAAAGAAGGAAGAAAAAAAAGATGAAAAGTATGGATTTTATTGAAGCTTTTAAACCAAATGGATTCACCCCACGCCTCAAAACTGCTGCTGGCACCGAAGTTTTGTCCCTCTGGGAGTTGTGTCCCTGCCTGCAAAATTGTGGGGGGACAAAGTGCAGCTGCCACAGCAACATCACAACCATTTGCTTCAAAATTGAGAGGTTTTTGGTTTTTTTTGTGGTTAGGAAATGCATGATGGGGATAATACAAATAAACTGGGGGCAGGTGGATCCTTATCCATCACTGCCATGAATTCCACGGATCTCCCTGGTACCTTCAAAGCTGAGCCTGGCTCTACAAACACCAAAGAAAAACCAGAATCGGTGCTGCTTTTTTTTTTTTCTATTTTTTTTTTTTTCCTGATGTCTCGTTTCTGCTGAGCGAGAGAAAGCTGGGGTTGTGTTTGGGGTGTGAAATCCCTTGAAATCCCGTTCCTGAAGAGCCGAGCGCGCTGAGTCACAGCCAGAGCGTTCCCAGCCCGCGGGGCTGGGGGAGCATCCCGGCCCCTCGCAGCCCCCTCCCTGGGAGGGCACCTGGAGTTTGGGAAAGCAGCAGGGTTCAGGGGGGAGGGAGGAGGGTGAAACACTGCAGGGAGAGGGTGGGAAGAGCTTAAAGTAAGGAAAAAAGTGTGGGTGGAGAGAATCCTGCGAGCTCTACTCGGGGATGCTCAGGAACCCCAGGGAGGGGAAGGTGGGAGAAGCTGTGGCTGATTTTCTCTGAAGTTTCCCCAGCAATCTCATCTATTTACTTGACTTTTCCATGTGCAAACGCAGGGCCACACACACCAAAGCAGTTAATTCTCCTCTGGATGCACAGGAGAGTTGGAAACAAACCTCCCAGGCAGGGGGGGGATACAGCTCCATGAGGTCTGTGGGGAGCTGCAGCTTAAAACACGGAGCTCCCCCTCCCACTGCCCAGCAGTCCCCTGGAAGGCAGGAATTGCCAGCGGGAATCACTCAATCCTTGCTAAATCAGGGAGGAATGATCCTTCCCCAGGGTGGACATCACACCTTGGCATCACCCCTGGCCGTGGGGAGCTGGCATGGAGCTCAGAGAGTGCCCAGGGGATAAATTCCCTGTGGGATTTGATTTTTTTTCCCAGCTCATTCCAGCTCAACACGGCTTTGCCACCCCTAATCAGGCCCCAGAAGACCCTTGGCAGATAAGCAAGGGATAAACACCAAATATTTTCACCCACAGCTGATAAAATGCTCTCCCTGGGGATGCTGAGCTGCCAGGCAGGGATTGGGAAGGGAGGGAAGGATGGACAGATGGACGGACAGGCAGGGATGGGGACAGCAGAGGCTGGGGCAGTTTGGATGTTAATTAATTTGGGAAAAGTGACACTGAGCCTCTGAATTCAATATTCCTGCCCCAGGTGGGCACGAGTGGCGTTTGCAGGGGACCCACAGGTCCCGCTTCGGTATGAACTGGTGGCCAAAACTGGTTTTTACTGGTACCACTGCCAGACCACCAACTAAACCCATGTTTTGTGGGAAGTGCCCGCTTCCCGTGGAAAGTTTCAGGGTTTTTTTTTCCTTTTTCTCTCTCTCTCATTGAAACCCCAAGCGCCAGCATAGCCTGGATGCCCGCCAGAGCTTCTCACTCTTTGAATTTCCACCAAAAATCTCAATTCCTTCACCGGAAAGAAACCTCTCTGTGCCTGCAGGCAGGAGGATGACACCCAGCCTCCCGCGCTGCCAGGGTGACCCCGACCCTCCGAGCCTGGTTTTCCCCAGGATTTTGGCATGCTGGATGATGAGGGATCCTGCAAAACCATCCCTTTACACCTGATCCTCTGCGCAGACAAAAATCATCCTAAAGCTACCAGAGAAATTGGGTCCTTCCCTGAGCCTTTCCCTTTGGAAGCTGCTGGCTTGGGAATGGATTCAGCTGCATCCAGAAAAGCTGCCTGGTCATGGGATCAGCTGCCACCCCAGAGGGATCAAAGAGTTCCTGCAAACCCCAACAGGAAGGTCGGGAGCACTCCAGGAAGGATGTGAACCTTCACTTTCCCACTCTGCTACGGAGTGAACTTGGTTGAGCTTCTCCTCCCTCTCCGCTTGGGTGAAGCTTCCCTGAGGGATGGAGGTGTTAGGGAAGGACTTTTCCACGACAGGGAAAAGCCAGGAAGTTCAAAGGAAGCTGAGAGGGCTTTGCCGAGCAGCATTCCTGAGTCTCACGCCAGCCTGCACAAGGAGAGGGAACACAGAGCATCAAAATCCTGGAAACCTGCATTGGGCTCCCTAAAAACACCCAAAGGTGCAAATCCCCGGCCAGGAGGGGATGCCAGCCGTGCCCAGGTGAGCCAGGCAGGAGGGCAGGCTCAGGTTGGGTGTGAATCTCCCGGATGCCTCCTCGCTGTGCTCCCGGCGTGTCCATGGAAACCGCAGGCACCGTCCCACCCCGCTCCCCCCTCCCAGGAACTCATGGCAACCGCTCCAAACACAGCGCGGAGGCAAAAAAAAAAAAAAAGAGGAAAAAAAAAAGGGAAAAAAAATTATTCCAACGGATCACAAACAGCTTCTGTCGAGGGAGACTCTGCGCCAAATCCCCGTTTGGGTGCTCTCCTCGTGGAGATGAGAGGGGAGGTCACGGGGTGGGGACAGGAGGGATGTGGGGATGGGATCCCTGGGGAATGAACGCGCCCGTGCCGCAGGTGAGCGCTCCCACCTGGATTTCAGCCCCATCCCCGGGAACCTGGAGGCTGTGAGCCACGCAGGGATGTCAGGGTGACTGCAGCGGGGGGAGAATGAAAGAGAGGTGTAAAAAGAGGCAAAGAAAGAGGTGTAAACATCGATTTTCTGGATTTTAGGTCAGGCCAGGGAAGACAAGGCACCTTCCTGAAGTTTGGCAGTGGAGGGATGAGCCCCTGGGAGCAGGTCCCTCTGCATCCTGCACGGAGCTAGGCACGGTGTCAGTGTTAAGCAAATCAAAAATAATGTCAGAATCCTCTCTCCCACCCATTCCAAGAGGAGCATGAAAAAAATAATGATATTTTACTCACCCATCAAAAGAAAATTACTCACGCCAGGCGCGTGGGCGAGCAGAATTTTGCAGGGCTGTTTTAGGCCCTGACTATGCTACAAAAATATCCATTTTAAGCACGGTTGTGAAACACGGTTGTGGCTCAACCGGAGCACTGGGTTGGAGCTACCTGGACAAAACAGGTGGAAAAATGAACAATTAAGGAATAACCACTCCGAGGCCTGTGATGGTGGCAGGGGAGGTGGCAGGTGGCACTTCCCAGCTGCTCCACCCCGGGAAATGCCCGGCTGGCGCTCCAGTTTCACCACGATAAAAACTTTGGGATGTGCAAAGCACCTTGAACAGGTGCTCCAGGTAACAGGGAGGTGTTTGGGAGCCTCACTCACTGCTCTGGTATCCACTTGCTTCATCCCAGTTAATTTTATCCCGTGCTCATCTCCCGATCCCAGTATCACTGAAACCTGCAGGGAAGGGGAGCGCTGCCATCGGCCACGTGGGGCTCCAAAAAACATCAATATTGATTCAGAGGGAAGAAAACAGAGCCCGGGGCTGGGTGTGCATCGCTCCTGCCCAGCGCGGCCACGGCTCCAAAACAGGGAAAATACTGGAATAACCAACAACCTGGGCAAATCCATAACAGGGAAAACAACAGGAATAACCAACAACCTGGGCAAATCCATAACAGGGAAAACAACAGGAATAACCAACAACCTGGGCAAATCCTTAATGTGGAAAACACTGGGAATAACCAACAACCTGGGCAAATCCTTAATGTGGAAAACACTGGGAATAACCAACAACCTGGGCAAATCCATAACAGGGAAAATAACAGGAATAACCAACAACCTGGGCAAATCCATAACAGGGAAAACAACAGGAATAACCAACAATCTGGGCAAATCCTTAATGTGGAAAACACTGGGAATAACCAACAACCCGTGCAAATCCATAATGTGGAAACCCCAGGAATAACCAACAACCTGTGCAAATCCATAAAACAGAAAACATGGGGAATAACCAACAACCTGGGCAAATCCTTAATGTGGAAAACACTGGGAATAACCAACAACCTGGGCAAATCCATAACAGGGAAAATAACAGGAATAACCAACAACCTGGGCAAATCCATAACAGGGAAAACAACAGGAATAACCAACAACCTGGGCAAATCCATAACAGGGAAAATAACAGGAATAACCAACAACCTGGGCAAATCCATAACAGGGAAAACAACAGGAATAACCAACAACCTGTGCAAATCCATAAAACAGAAAACATTAGGAATAACCAACAACCTGTGCAAATCCATAATGTGGAAACACCAGGAATAACCAACAACCTGGGCAAATCCATAACAGGGAAAACAACAGGAATAACCAACAACCTGTGCAAATCCATAACAGGGAAAATACCAGGAATAACCAACAACCTGTGCAAATCCATAATGTGGAAAACACTGGGAATAATCAACAACCTGTGCAAATCCATAATGTGGAAAACATTGGGAATAACCAACAACCCCACTTTGAAGCTGCGCAAACCCATCCAGCCTCCCATCCTGTGGGAGAGACAAACAAGATCCCCTTTTCCCTGTGGGAATTCACCTGGGGGGGAGTGGGAAATCGGAGCAGGGATGTTTGGGAGTCTGGTTATGAGGTTTGGTTCAATGCAGTCTCAGGAACTTTAAAAAAGACTTTATAAAGTCAAAAATGAGGCACGTGGGGCAGTAAGGGGATGATCCAGTAAAATCCAGCAATCCATTCTCTTTATTTTTAGGAGTGCTGGTCAAGGGAATCATTGGATTGCACATGAGGAAGAGGGAGATGAGGATGCTCCAAGAGATCCCAATGCCTAAAGGAAGCCATGGAGCGTAGCCAGGATTCCAAAAACATCTCAGCTGTCCATGCAAGGCTAGAAAGGCAGAGCTGCCTCACTGCCTGGGTGCAGGAATCAGGAATTTGGGGATTTAATCCAGGCTCTATCATCAGCAGGAGCTCTCTGGAACAGCTCTCCTGTGCTGGTACAAGGGTCATCACTGTGCTCTTGGGAGTGACCCCTGTGTTCCAGGGAGCATTCCCTGCGCTCCTGGGAGCATTCCCTGTGCTCCAAGGAGCATTTCCCATGTTCCAGGGAGCATTCCCTGTGCTCCTGGGAGCATTCCCTGTGTTCCAGGAACATTCCCCGTGTTCCAGGAGCATTCCCAGCCCTCATGTAGCACAGAGAACTCACAAGGAGCAAGGGATGGCCCAGGATTAACTCCACACCACTCAACAAAGCAGCAACCTGCCAACAGCCTTTAAATCTCTGGGGATTTCCCTTACAAAAAAATTAAGGATATGAGTGCTCAGGAGCCAAAATGGTGGCAATTTATGCAACCTCCCAGCTCTGCAAAACAATGCTGAGGACAAAGCTCCATCCTCTTCCTCAGCTGCAGCATCCAAGCCTGGAAAAAGAGGGATCAACCAAGGACTAATGGCACCCAACGCCAGAGAGACGCACGTGGAAGCTGAGCAGAGTCCCTGCTTCCCTGAGGGAAATGAATTTGTAGAGCATTTTTAAAGCTTAATAGAAAGTTCACATAGTGTATAACCCAACGCTTTCCAAAGCAGCCAGGGCTGGAACAAAGCTCTCCCTCCCCGGAGCGATGCCAGGGCCGGACGTGCCTCGCTGTGACATTTCAGCAGCGGGGCACGACCCCACGTGTGTCAGCGCTGCCATGGACGTCAGCCGGGCCCCGCAGCCGTGAATGGCCCGATTGATGCCGGGAGGGCAGCCCGGGAGGGAGCCGGGCTGAGGGCAGCCCCGGGAAGGAACCGGGCTGAGGGCAGCCCCGGGAGGGAGCCGGGATGAGGGCAGCCCCGGGAGGGAGCCGGGCTGAGGGCAGCCCCGGGAGGGAGCACCCAGGAGGGCAGCCCCGGGAGGGAGCCGGGATGAGGGCAGCCCCGGGAGGGAGCACCCAGGAGGGCAGCCCGGGAGGGAGCCGGGATGAGGGCAGCCCGGGAGGGAGCCGGGATGAGGGCACACACACACCCAGGGCTGCACTGAGGTTACACGCTCAGGGCCGGACTGAGAGCACACGTCCATGGCTGCACTGAGGGCACACGTCCATGGCTGGACTGAGGGTGCACACACACAGGGCCGGACTGAGGGCGCACGTCCATGGCTGCACTGAGAGCACACACACACACACACAGGGCCGGATTGAGAGCACACGTCCATGGCTGCACTGAGGGCACATGTCCATGGCTGGACTGAGGGCGCACGTCCATGGCTGCACTGACGGCACACACACAGGGCCGGACTGAGGGCACACGTCCATGGCTGTACTGAGGGCACACACACACAGGGCCAGACTGAGGCACACACACAAACACACACACAGGGCCGGACTGAGGGCACACATCCATGGGCAGACTGAGGGCACACACAGGGCCGGACTGAGGGCACACATCCATGGCCAGACTGAGGGCACACACAGGGCCGGACTGAGGGCACACATCCATGGCTGCACTGAGGGCACACACACACACACACACCCAGGGCCTGACTGAGGGCACACTCACACACACACAGGGCCGGACTGAGGGGGCACACACACACACACACAGGGCCGGACGGAGGGCACATGTCCATGGCTGCACTGAGGGCACACACACACACACAGGGCCGGACTGAGGGCACACACACACACACACACACAGGGCAAGACTGAGGGCACACACACACAGGGCAAGACTGAGGGCACACACACAAACACACACACAGGGCCGGACTGAGGGCACACACACAAACACACACACAGGGCAAGACTGAGGGCACACACACAAACACACACACAGGGCCGGACTGAGGGCACACATCCATGGCCAGACTGAGGGCACACACAGGGCCGGACTGAGGGCACACATCCATGGCTGCACTGATTTCACACACACACACACACACCCAGCGACTGACTGAGGGGGCACGCGCGCACACAG